TGTACTAGTTTAAAATTATAAATAAATGTACAACAATTAGCTCACGCTAAGGACCACATTTGAATAACCATTGAGTATTTAATAGCAAAAAGAATTGGTGGGGGCTTCTATGGATTATGTTTTGTGGGACCCAATGTGTTGGGTGGTGGATGTATCAAGTAGTTAGGAGGGGAAGAAAAGTTTGCATGAATGAAAAAATAACTGTCCGATTAAAAAAAAAATGGTTCTCTTTCTTTAAGTTTCTTTTGTCGGTTTTTATGTTAAAAGAGAGACTTTTATAATCTCACCCTATTAATTAATGGATTTGAGGATGGTAAGCTTTGGAGGGCATGTTATGGATTCTCATTTTAAATGTTAATATTTTCAAGTGTTGTTAATTATCTCTAATGATACTGAATTTTAAAATGTAGAATAGCTTTGATGGTATTAATTAATTGTGATCTTGCAGTCTGATAGGAAAATAATAATAATAATAATAATATGAAGTAAATGGCAATTGAGACCTTGTAGAAGAAAAGTTTTTATTTGGTCCTCAAAAGCTTAAAAAGTCTTACTCATACCCCTGTTAGAACAAATTTTTAGTTTCAAATGTTTTCATGTAGAAGTTTTGTTTATGCCGTCGGCATGATAGTCACTTCTTTATCATCAGCTACAGAAGTACTAGAACAAGTTCAATAGAAAAATACTAAGCATTAATTTTCAATATTGGTTAGTCTTGTACAAGGTAGAATAGTAATAATTAAATTAGATTTATTTATTTTCTTGAACCGGAGAGTGCAAGAATATGATCTCACAATTAATCACTCCAGAACCTAGCATATCAAGCACTTATCATCCCATTTTCTAAATTTATCAATTGTATTCCTTACAGAGAATTAATATATGGAAAATGATTAAGACTAATCAATAAATTTAATCAAGAAACTCTCCAAGCCACAAGAACATAATTCTTAATAGAATAAGCACTAAGAAGTACTAGAAGACAAAGACAAAGGACTACAACTATAACACTTTGATCCCTCCTGTCAACAACAGATAGATAGATCGATCGACTGTCTTTCTTTTCTCTTGATCAGTAAGTCACAAGACACAACCTTATTCTCCTCCAAAGCAGATTTTTTCAATACAAGACAGCCTTATACGTATTAATGCCTTGTAAGTCTGAACAAATTTACTTGAATTTCACTTGAGGCCGAGGGTCAAGGACGCAGGACTAGCGGAGTTGCAATGGTGGTGAAAAATACAATGGCAGCAACGAATATTGCAACTTTCTCCAATACTTTGGATATGTCAGGAAACTTTCTGCTAATTAACTGTGAAACAAAAAGGGAAGCAAAGGTGAGTAGGATGGAAAAAGAACGCAAGTAGAAGGGAATAGAGAGTTTGGAATGCTGAGTTGTTTCGTATTGGAGAGCAATTTGAATTGCTGCTTCGAAACAGAATGCCATGATTATGTTAGGCCATTCTAGAGTGATCTGCTTGACAATGACCATATTGATTTGTTGTGGATTGATGGCAGAGGAAGGTGTTTGTTGTGTTGGAGGTACTAATTGGAGCTCTGTTTCCATAGCAGATTGAGGTTGAGGCGCCTGTGTTTGTGCTGCTTGCAACAATATTTCTGTGTTGATGGTTGTAAAATGTAACGGTTGTGTTTCTGGGGTTTGAGACATTTCTTGGTTAAGGGGAACAGAGGGTTGTGCTTGTGTTTCTAGCAATTGGGATTCAAGGTCGATGGAACGAGAAGAAGGTGGTGTATGTGATAGATGTAATGGTTGAAGTGGTGGTTGCAACATTTCTGGGGCTATGGTATCAGAATGCAGAGGTTGGTTTTCTGGATTTTGAGATATTTGGGTAATGGGATGAGGGGCTTGTGGATATGGCTCTGTTTCTGGTGACTGCGATTCGAGGTCGAAGGCAGGAGAAGGAGGAGGGGTATTTGCTGAATGTGAGGGCAGTGGGTATCTAACTCTGTTCCACACTACGATCAAGAAAGCTGAAATTGAAAGAAAAAAATGGTTGATATTCTGGGTAATTTCCATGTTTGAATGAGTTGAGTTAAAGCTTGGGAGCAGGCAAGAATGTGTATATATAGGGATATGATAGATGATGGTATTCTTTATTACAAAGACCTAAAAATAAGTTGTGGCATCGGGGTTGGGGCTTAAAGGATTCAAACTACAATCGGATATTTTTTCATGATCCTCGGATCTCATTGCAAGATCCTGACAAAATTTCTGACACAACAATTTAACATCGCTAAGACCTGACTGGTCTGAAGGGTTTAAAAAAACAGAGGCGAATCAATACTTTAATGTGGCAAAGGAGAGAAGTTTGACAATGAAAGGAAATAAATAAATAAGGAAGGAGATTGGCCCACACGCTAAGACCTGACTGGTCACAGACTCACACCTACTCAACAATTTCTTTGGCCTCTATTATCTTAAGAGCTGTAAAACCGAAGATCGACCCGATCATCTTGGGTGCTTATTCTACAATGCTTTGCTATTGCCTAGTAAAAGGGTGGAGAAAGAGGACAGGAAACTTGCAACCTAAGTCACGGTATCAATTGGATTCTGAAATCATATTAGGTTAAATTCGGATCAACACCTGGTTGGTGATTTCCAGCCTTTTCTGCTTACAGATAAGCAATGTGGGCTGGATGAAAAGGACTAGAACGCTTCACTTTCCACGTCAAATTTGAGGGTTAAAATGTCAAAGACAGTTTGGAATTTATTTTCACTTCATGTGGAGACCAATATATTCTGACAGTATCTTTTTAGGTTAGCAGAATCTAGCATTTTACAAAGGAAGAGATCTAAATGTGCTTAATTTTATTTATGTTTTTAATTATAGGATTGTTGTTATTACCAAATCATATTAGATTAGATCATAGATGAATGCCAAGATTATTTGTAAAATGTATTTGTTCTGATAGGTCCTAGAAATCACCATGACAAACACTGTTAAAAGGTTGCTATAAACAACTAATATATTTTCCTTGAACATTTCGGTTCCTTCGGCAATGATTCCATGGTGAATGCGAGTCTTTAATCAGACGTGACATCCTTTTGGCCAGTAATGGGATGTTTCTAGAAGCAGATACACAACTTGGAAATAAACGTAATAATAAAGAAAGGAAGAATAAAGTCGGGTCTGCTGGACTCGACCAAATAGAAGATGGGTTGTATATGCGTGTGAAAGTGGTTCGGACATCACACATAGGACCTACCTACCTGCCATTGACTTGCGGGAACAGACCAATTAAAGAAAGGGCAAAAGAAAAATTAAAGAAAAAGAAGCAAGGAAAGAGGTAGGAAACGGGAGGCTTTGGGAACTGGATGGATCATAGTACTTAGATAGCTACCAAAGAAAGAAAAAGAGATCATGTTTTCAGTTCATCCATCCACAGGGCCACCAGATCTTAATTTGGTTCTTGTGGAAATGGACTCTTCTCTTGTCAACAAATTGATGCGTTGTGCCAAGGCAGTTGCAGATGGTGATCTCCAACTTGCAGATGATCTTTTTGTGGAAATGGAATTTCTGACCAGTGCCGAAACTAATGAAGTAACAAAGAAAGTTGCCAAGTATTTTGCAGAAGCTCTAGCCCGGCGAGTCCATGGATTGCATCCTCAAAATCCTATGCCATTACTTCCTTCTATAGAAATGCATGACTACCCCTACACGGAAGAAATTCCCCTTAATCTGTTTGCTACCATTGCCACCAGCTACAATATGCTTCAAACTTTAATTACTGGAAGATCAAACCGAGTCCACTTTATTGACTTCTCCATGGTGGTAAGCTACAGGTACTGGAAGGATTGGTTCTTGTGCTATGGAAAAAGTGTGATTTGCTCACAATCATTCCGGGTGACCAGTATCAGACCAAAACTATCAAGATACGATGACCATCTCCAACTGTACACATTTCAGCAAGGTATCAATCCACTTGCTCTAGAGTATGGCATTGATTTCCAGTTCGAAGAAGTGTTTGCCAATTATGCAGCTGAGGTCGTAGAAGCTGTGCTCGATCTCAAAAGAACGAGCGAGGATGAGACAATAATTGTAAGATGGGTGTTTGAACTCCACAAATTGCTTGCCCAAGAAGGAGCAATCGAGAAAGTGTTATCAAAACTGAAGGATCTAAGACCAGATATCATGGTAATTGTTGAACAGGAAGCCAACCATAACAGTTCAGATTTCTTTGACCGGTTTAGCTCATCATTTGACTACTACCATAGTGTTTTTGAAGCATCAGATCAACATGATACCGACCCAAGAATAAAGATGTTGTCGGATAGGCATTTGAGTCGACAGATTATTAATGTTGTTGCAAGTGAAGGCATCCATCGGTTTGAGAGGCATGAGACATTCGATCGCTGGAAAGAACGACTATCTCAAGCTGGGTTTCATTCAATTCCGTTATGGTCGAACGAGTTAAAAAATACCCGTTTACATTCTATGTTTGACTTCATAATAGTCGAAAACAATGGCTTTCCTATGTTACGCTCTCTCAATCGCCCTTTGGCTGTTGTGTCGATCTGGAAACCTGGTAATACGAATTACTTCATTTCATTCTCTTGCTTTTTACATTTTTATGTTGAATAAGAATAATTGTTAATATAAATATATACTGTTGCAGTGGATAAGGAAAATGTTGGAAATTCCAATTCTATATTTTTAAGAGGTGGTGATCTTAATTATCCAATCACTATACAAGACACTGATGATGCATCTCTTCCATTCGAGACAGAGGCAGCAAGCTCTTCAGACTCTGAGGATGACATAGGATGTCATCCTGATACGATGGCAAATGGAAGGATATGGTCTGAAGAGGTACTGTGCTTTATTTTCTTCTAACATTTAATCAGTTTGTTTTTCCTCATTTTCTTTTTCATCCATATATTTCATATTTTAAAGAGTGAAATTCTTTTAATTTTTTAGGAGGTGCGGGAGTATTTGCTTTTATCTTTTACAGAGAAGGAAACAAAAAGGATTGCAAGATGGATGGATCGTAAGATTACTGGGTACTTACTTGCATAGAAATCATGCTTTCATAAGAAATACATGTTCTGTCAAGCAATCTCATTCATGCAACTTCCATTCTTATAGAAATTTTGCAGGACGTAATAAAAGATTGAATGTTCGTGACACATCATTGATAAATTTGCTTAGAATCCCTCCAACATACATACCAATCGAGAAGGAAAATCAATATTACGTTGATGATTCAGTAAGATAGTTCTGCTTTTAGTTTTTGTCAATTTCTATGTTGCTATTTGAAAAATACTGTGTAATTTGTGTCTTGAAAACAAGGTTATTAATGCCTTCTTCGAGTTGCTGAGAAAGAGAGCAGAGCAGTTTCCCAATTCATACATCAAGAACTACTCATTGCCAACTTGGATGATCGTAAGAAGCTTAGAACTTGTCATTTTTTTACTTCTTTTAATTCAAAAAGCAGTCGTGTTTTTTAAACAATTTCACTCTGATCAGAGTTTCTTGCTTTCTGGGAAATGGAGTGAGACAAAAGCATTATCTTTCTTAAAAATTGAAGAGATAGCAGGCTCATTAAAGGTATGCTACCCAGCCATATTAATTATTAAAGTTAGACTAATGAGTTTCTAACTTTCCTATCATTTTCATTGTTTAGTTGTTCGTGCCAGTGTGTTTAAAAGATCATTGGATCCTCATTTGCGTCGACATAGAGAAACAAGCATTGCTATGGTTAGATTCATTAAATTCTCCTTTTGATGGCCATTCTACTGAAAAGACTATAATTTTCCAGTGGATTATCAAGGACCTACTACCGGTTTTGGGTTATCATAATTCACAAGAATGGAAATTACGACAAATTTTGGATATTCCATACCAAAAAAAGTAAGTTGCTGCAAATTTCCATAAAAACATTCAAAGTAAGTTGCTACAAATTTCCATAAAAACATTCAAAATGGTTTGTAGTTCCGCTGGAGAATGACTATAATGTGTGTTTACTTGGAACTTTTGTTGCTCTACAGCCGAGTTGATTGTGGCATATTTGTGATGAAGTATGCTGATTGTCTTGTACATGGAAATCATTTCCCTTTTAACCAAGAAAACATGCCTCACTTTCGACAACAAGTCTTTCTTGACATATACCGTGGGAGATTACCTAATGCTGTCTCTATTTTGGTAACGTTTTATGGCCTTTCCAACGTAAAAGTAAAGTACCTTTTGTATTGGATTGTTATTATAACTAAGATACTAATCCAAATAGGATGGTGATTTAAGCCATTCTAACTACATTAATATCTTCTTGTTAGTATTTTTTTGGTTGGTTTGATGTTTGATTAGGTTATGAATTATTTAGCAAATAGTGTAGTGTTCATGTGATTTGCATGTTTTTGTTTTGTTCTTTTTGGACTTAATCTTTCTGTATATCGCTGTCTCTTTTCTCAAAAGGGATTTCGAAAGGTGGATCAAGACGGTTGGGAGAAGCACCTGCTTTGGACTACCAGCGAACATGCTAATCAACAACCGCAACAACCACGTGGACAGAACTCATCTGTTGAGGTTGGAAAATTTGGGCTTGAGGAAGAGGTAGAGCGGCTTCAGAGGGACAAGAATGTCCTTACGGCAGAACTTGTTAAGTTGAGGCAGCAGCAACAGTCCAAGGATAGCCAGGTGCAAACCATGGTGCAACGACTTGAAGGAGCGGAGCAGCGTCAGCAACAGATGATGTCATTCCTCGCAAAGGCTATGCAGAGCCGAGACCTGCCTAATTTTGTTTCTTAATCAAGGCATAAATGCTTTTGAGAGGCATTTTTGTCATTATAAAAATTATAATGATAAACTTACAATAATTTGAAGATTTTTTTCTCAAGAAACCAGTTTATACTACACGAATCAAAATACATGGTATTTTTTGAAATAGCATTCAAATATTTAAGGTGTAAAGTGTAATTTGTGAAACTATAAAATGTAAATTATTACCCATCTCAAACCACAAGGTGCTTAACGTTATTTATCCTTAATATAATACTTGTTTCCATAGCTGAGCTTCTTTGTGGCGCATGATACATTGGAAGTTCTTGGCATGCTAATTTCTATTATTTGTTTCAGCATTACAATGTGAATATCTCTGAAACTATGAATTGGGGTATTGACATCCTCTCTTCTAAGCATTTTTCTAAGTATTTGTAGAATTCAAATCGGTTATTTCAATATACTAATTAATGGTACTGTATTGTCACAGATTTGGCCTTTTTCAAGCTATTATGGGACATTTGGCTCACTTCTCCACTAAATCAAACTAAATCAACTTTCTCCGACACTAATTGTTAAATAAGAAAGATACACAAAAGAGATATAAGAACTTTTTGTATTACTCTCTCAAATGCTTACAACACTCTTATAATATAATTTTTGTATTTCTCTCTCGCATTGGAAGCTTTGGCCAAATGAAGACTTTACCTATTTGTAGTCCTTCACCCTCTTAATAGATTGTTATGATCTATTTGATCTAATAATAACAATTCATGCTCTAAAATTCTCCCGCCTACATATTTACAAAAAACTATCTGGATATGTATAAGCTAAAATGATGAGAGACTCTCTAAAATTCTTTAGGACATGTCTAAATTTCTCTTAAATACCTTAGAGGCTTCTCTATTATTCCATAATTATAACACCATCGACCTAGGACGTAGATAGGTCGAGAGTATTACCAACGTTGACTTACATTCGAAGTACAATGAATGTAAGATAACAAGCCTCTTTCCTTAATATTTTCAATTTATTAGTAAAAGTGGGTAATTATCATATAAGGTCCCTAATAAATGAGAGGTAGTAGGTCCACATTAAATGAAACTTAAGAATAAAATTTTTCAGAAATTCAGCTAACTCAATTAATATTAGTACACTATGCATAGAAATATTAAATGCTATATTTTGGTCAAAATTCCATATTCTTGAAATTCAAATTATTCATTTAAATAAAATGCCTTACATTAAAATAAATTGAACCATATATCTTATTTTTCTTAAATTTCTTTTACAAATTCGTATAAAATTTAATTTAGGAATCTTTTATTTTAAAATATTCTACACAATGAGGTAGGATTATTTGATATTGATTTTATTTCAAAAATAATTGAATTATCAAGTTTTACATTTAATTAGAAAATATTCCATGAATAGTAATCATTAAATCAATATTTAATACTATTATTTTTATAAAAATTCCATAGGCTAGGAAATTATTCCAAAAAATCAATAAGCATTTAATAAATTCATTTAGACCTTTAACTAATATTTTGGCCATTTAAAACATCTTTTTGACTTAAGAAACTTTAGTTCTTGATTTATTTAATACTAGCCCATTAAATACATTTATTCCTTAACCATTAATTTCCTTCTAAGTCTTAATTTTATTACCCTTTTGGTCATTCCCTTTTTAATTCCTTACTTTATATCCTTAATTCATTAGTTAATTAAATCAAGTAATCATCTAAGTATTACCTTCATTATACCTTTAATTCATTCCTTCCCACAATCAATTAATTCCATTGAATCATGCCAAATACCCAAGTCACCATTCATGTTAATAAGTCATATAACTAATCAATCTATACCACAATATTAAACTTGACATTCAATCATACCATTTTTAATACATACAAACTCGTTTAATTTATTACCAAATATACATAACCAAAATTAAGTTAAACAAAGATAAAGTTTTTCATATCCCAACACACTAAGCACACATAAAGGCAAGTCTTCAAGTTTCTCGATGATAGTCCTTAATCATCTTTCTTTTCTTCTATACCATAAGAAACAAAGGTGAGCAATGCCCGATAAATATAATCCATACAATGCATGTGATGAACATGATGCAACTTTTATGAAAATCGTTTTATGCCTTTGAAATTCATTTTCCTCATCGAACGCACCATGTCGATTATGTATATAATCGGTTCTCTTTTAAAAAATGCAATTTATGAAAAATCACAAAAAGCACTAGGTACCTTCCCATAACATTTTTCTAGACACACTAAGTGTGTCCTTTTCCTCAAGAGGGTTGATCATTCCTCTTCCATAACCTCGAAGGTACTTAGCCATTCCTCTTTGAAAATCTTTCCTTTTTCTTTTTTCTTTCATCAAAATCATGAATATAAAATTTCTTTCATGATTATGATGTGCAAATGTATTTAAATAAAATACAATGCATGCCATATAAACTTCAACATGCATACTTTTGAACCTCAAGAACATGTAATATAAATAATACATCAAATACATGTTTCGGATAAATCAAGCACGCATGCAAACATTAATAAGCAATGAATATAACTCATGCTTTAAATACACATAATGGAAGAATATTTAAGCAACATAAATCATCCATTTTTTACACGATTACAATCATTTTTCATGCCGTTTTATACCTTTAATCCTCAAAATTACATTAACCTCAAATTAACCTCTCTTGTCTTTCTTTTTCATTCTTGGCCGAAACTTAACCAATGGAAGGAGAACTTTCATTTCATCAATTTTTCTCAAAATTTCACCTCTAACCTCTAAAACTAACATGTTTTTCTTCTTTTAATCATCAAACAGGTTAAGTTTTTCATCTAATCTAAACTTCCATTTGGTTCAAAATTATCCATAAAGTAACCTAAATGCCATTTTTGCAAATTAACACCATAAACATCTTTGAGGCATTTCATAAAACACCTTATAAACATTAAGTATTAAAACCACAAATTCAATCATATTTAAGGACATTCAACCACCTTGTTCTAGAATAAGGACAGCCTTAAAACTTGTGAATTAACATTAATTAACCATCCAAACATCAAATTCTAATAATCAAGAATGCATACACATCAACATAACTAACCAATTCCAACAACAACATAATTTCATCAATCATTTAACAACTAAACCTCAAATATTAAATCACCAAATTATCATCAAATATACATCAAAATAATTATTTTCTTATGGTGTAGTGAGAATTACACTTACCTCACTTGAAGCTTGGCTAATCTTCCTTTCTTCCTTCTGGCTTCCTTCCTCTCTTCCTTCTCAAAACTTTCTACCCAAATAGTACTTTTTTCTTCTCTCTCTCTCTCTCTGTTTTTTTTTTTATCTTCCAAGCTGATTCTAAGGTGATTTAGGGTTTCTTTTAAGGTGTGTAATGTGGTTTGGAGGGGTGGTTGGATGGTTTTCTTCTTGGTTGGTGTAATTGCTCCTTTAAGGTTACTTGAATGCTTCTAGCTTGTAATCTTAGTTCCATCTTCTTCTTTCACTTTTATAGCCATGGTTTTTCCTTATGATTAAGCCAAGTGTCATACAGTTGGATCAATCTTAAGGTTGATTGTAAGGTTTTTGAGAGTTTTCTTCATCTTCATCATCTTTTTTTCTCTTAGATATTTTTATTTCTTTTTTAGATATTTTTTCCTTCCTTCCTTTCTTGTTTTGCCACCTCTCTTCTTCTCCTTTTCTCTCTATTTTTTTCAGATTTCTCTAGATAAATTTTTCCCTCAAAATGAATTAATAAGTCCCTCAAAGTATCATCATTTTATACTTTTATCCTTAAAATTTTAATTGCTTCATCCGGGCCTTCAAATCCTTCAATTTCAATCCTCAAACTTTTATTTTTTCATAAATAAGTCCTTAATCTTGACATTTTCAAATTATAAAGCGGTCACTTAAATTTCTTAATAATTTTAATTAAGTACCTAAATTTTTAATTTCTTCGATTATACTCCTGTATTTTACAATTATGTCCCTACATTAAAACATAAATATGTCAACTAATGGTATCAATATCTAATTTAACCCTTACTCATTCCATTAACCTTTTCTCTTAGTTATAGGTATGTTTATTTTATTATTTACAATATATTTACATTTAAGGAGGGGTTTAGGTCACGGATATTATAATTATCTTCAGAGGCTTTCGAACTTATCTAGTATTTCTAATTGGTCTCTAAAAAATCCCTCTTTCATGCAAGACGTAACATTCTCCCCCCACCTAATTTGACGACGTCCTCGATGTGTCTTTATTATACTCTTTGATGTTTTATGTGAATTATCACAAGGCTTTTGTAGGCTCTCAATTACTCTTGCTCTTTTGTAAACCTATTTATTTCATATAATACTCTTTCCTTGATGATGCATCGGATCATCGAATGGTGTAGCCATCAAGTATGACATCGACTTCTTTGTCATAAGAGTTAACCACAACTACAAGTGTCTTATGAGAAACTCCTTAACTTGGATCCTCCTTATCATATGGTATGGCTTTAGCATACCGATATGAAATATAGAATTGATCTTTAGCTTTAGTAGCAACTCTAATTGATAGAACACCACTTCAACCTTATGCACTATCTCAAATGATCCTTCATATCAATGTATGAAAAAGCTTTGTGTTCGTTGTGGTAGCAATTTCACCATCATTTTGTTACTTGATTGAAAGGTGACATCTCTCTATCTTTTATCGACCGTTTTTTCATCTTCTTCTCGACTTTGTTCAAATACATCCATCTCAAGTCTATTTATTCTTACCATCCTTTAGCCAATAAATATATAGTAGTTTGGTAATTTTTACTAAGCACCATTGTATGTGGAGCGAGGAGTCGCTGGCCCATCATGATATAAAATAGACTCTTGTTAGTTAACTCACTCATTTGTAAGTTATAAGAAAATTATACAACATCTAGCACTTCGCCTATTCTCACTAACTAGCACTCATGAAGCATTTCAAATATGTCTTTAGCAAT